TTAAAAAGTTTTTGGAGGAATTCATTTATATGGCCGGAATAACCGAACAACATATATATATTTTTTTAATTCCTTACGTTCCGTTTTCAGACAAAAAAAATTAAAAAATTTAGGAATTTTATTTTTCAAGTGTTTCAAGCTAACGTAACTCTTAATTCAAAGAGAGCTTCAAAATAAAAGGTAATTTTTTTTACCTAAAAACCGTAGTGATGAACTTAAAAGAAAAAAAAATTTGTTTTACGGTTCTTGCGACCATGGACGTGGATGCCTTGATGCAAGTACAGCAAAACATTTAAAAAATTTCATTTGTTATTGTTTTCATGTCAAGAAAGAAAAAATAATTAAAAAAAAAACATTTTCCCAGAATTCTCCATCTGAAAAGCTTTAAAATACTCTCAAATTTTTTTCTTTGGCTGTTCTCGTTCTCAAGATGTTAGATTTGTCACAAAAAAGCGCATTTTCCACACTGTGGGTCGCCTAATAATTGAAAAATATGTATGTAAGCCAGTAAAATAAAGTAGCCATGGTGGCAAGTGGCAAATGTAACAGAGCATGCTAATTTGCATGAAAAACTGACGGTTTGACGTTGCAAATGAAAAATTATATGCGTTACGCATAACAGCTAAAAATAAGTGCGAAAACAAAAATTTGCCAAGACCAAGCGAAATTCAAAACGTATGAAATTTCAACAGTACGAACGCGTTCTTCAGTGGCGCGTGATTAATGGCAAGCCGCGGATCAGATGCGCAGGCAGGCAGCAACAGGCGCACCATACTACGAGCAGCAATGCCTGTTTGTTTAAAGCTTAAAGCTTGCTTGTTGTTAGAGCGATAGAGAAGAAGAAGAGTTTGTATTTGATGGCAGTAAAATATAAATGAGCTGACAAATTTAAAAAAAAAGCTACGCACCAATAACAGCTCAAGCCGACTGGGATGCTTTAGTTTCAAGATATAGGAGAAAAAATGATTGCTCATTAGCACTTTTTAGCTTTTACGGCTTCTTTTTCCCTTTACGAAATACGTTTTTATGGAAAAATTTATGATAAATATTTAAATATATGCAGTAATATATTTTGCTGTCCATTAATGATGTATTTAGTAATGGAAAAATTGTGTAAAATATACGGCAATCTGAAGTCATAGTAAATACTGCATGAAAAGGAATTAAATTAAGTGAAAATTATTCACAATTTTTTACCTTGTTATGCGAATATTATGTGTGTATAAATATCTTGGAATAAATAAGGTACAGGTGTTAAATATCGTCCTACCACAACTTTTGTGTGAGTTTCGGTATATTCTGACATGGTTGCATTTGGCTTTTTTATCAGATTAGCTTAGGATGTACCTAGAAGTATGCAACACTAGTTGCCAATTAGAATGGGGCGCAGAAAAAGTTTGCTATTTCCCCAAAACCTCCTCCTAATACGAAAGCTTTCTTGAAGAGGGCGCTAAAAAGAACCAACATCGACATTTGTGCGTAGCTTTATTTGCAATCCGATACATAATTTTAAATTCTACCCTAATATAGAAAAGCCCAATCTTATTTTCTTTGGAAATTCAGCTCGATAGATTACTTGCTAAAGACTTAATCGAATTCAAAATCAACTACTACATCAAAACAATAAATAGGTTTGGTGTTTATTAAAAACCAGTGTAATAAAAAAATGCAACTGAAGAACTAGTTTTAATAAAGTTTATATATTAAAGTAACGATATGTGTGTACATGAGACCATACCAGAACTAAGTTCGCCGTAGTCTATAGTTAATAAGGTAATTAAATTTTTTTTGCCTTTTTCTTTATTCAAAATTCATGAAGCTCAAGTACCCCGTTCGAAAACTGCCCGTTCCTACTACCCTAAAGTCAGTAAACTAAAGCTCGCCAAAAAACATTTAACTTTTGTTAAGAGAGGATTTCAAATATTGCACGATTCAATAATAAAAGGTTTGCTCAAAGTCGCAATCACACTCCTAATCCTAATCGTGTTTTTTTAAATATAATGGAAGCCCCTTAATTGAACATGTACATACATGTCGTATTCGTGATCAAAATCGTAGCCTAACAGTGACGGAAAATATCATATAGCATAGAGAGAGAGAGATAGATAGAGAGATAAGCAACGGCAACGTCACCGTTCGTTAACACGCAAATCACATAAGCTAGATCATGTCAGCGTCAACGTACGTTTACACTACGTCGTTGACTAATTGCGTCTTAAATTGCAACAAATCCCGCTATATATCGTTATACATATATACAAATACCACTTTGTATCGTTCACCTTCGCTATTTAGCAAAATATTTTCTTCCCCGCCATAATCACTTTTGCGTGTACAAAGTTATCACTCGTAACACACGTGCCAGACAGATTAAAGGATCAGTGAAGTAAGTTTCGAGTACAAGATTGAATTCAATTGAGTGACAACAGATAGATAATCAACAGACAATGACAAAGGTAGAAAAACGTAAGTAGAGACGGTTGCAAATAATTGCAAAATTAAATACATATTTATTACGTATTCCATTGCAGCTGATTTGACTTTTAATCGAATATACATATTTCTTTACAAGTAGTTATTAGCAGCGTATGCCATTAATCATCCCAGCATTGAAAACCTAAATGTTAATTGGCGATATGCAGGCAAATCGGTTTGCATGCGTCTAAAATAGGTTCGTTTATGTATCATATTCATATGTATGTACGTGCGTAGGTATGCAAACAGAGTACATTCATGCATTTGTATGTATGTAGGATGCATGTGTGTATGCGAAAAATATAAATGTGCCTCAATAAAGGCTTGCTGCTCTGCGCGTCATAACGGAGATAATAAAATTACGAGCAATGCTCAAACAGCGCACGTTTAAACACTTAAGAGACCGTGATTCGAATCACAACAGCAATAAAATATGTTCTATCTATGTATGTATGCGCCTTAAACCTCGCCGGGAAACGAATAAGTGTTGCGAACAGAAGGGGAGGCTAACACTAAGGGTTGTTGAGAAAGGTAGTGATGGGATTGATGCTGCGGGAATTGTAATCAAACGCGCGAGAATTGTGCGTCGATTCGCACTTGTAGCAGATAAAAATGTCTAAAAAAAAATTTAAAACACTCCAAGAATGCGGATAAATCGATTGTTAACGAAGAGCTTAAGATATGGCCGGGGTTGCCACTTGGTAAGTTGTTACCAAAATTGGTAGCACAAATTTGGGCTAGTAAAAATGTAGATTTTTTCTCATTTTTGTACATTTTTGTTGAATGATTTTGTTTGAAAAACAAATAAAACCTTTCGTTGCCGCTTTATTTTTTGTAGTTATCTTTATATTACGAATTTCTTTCCAAAAGTTTGGGTAAAGTATGTACAGACTACTTTATTGCTTTAATTTTCGAACGCTTTAATGCACACTGTTTATATACATACGTATAATTGTAGATATGTATATCGATAAAGGCGAACATATCGTGCTTCATTCAAAACTCATTTTACTGTAATCCCGAGAAAGTTTTGATTGCCTAAATATTTTAATTGATAATTTAAATAAAAAGAAAAAATGGACACGTATGTAATTACGCGCTATGATTGTTCGCAAAAAAAAAATTAATCAACGCAATGTTTTATCAATGGCAATTGTTAAATGAAAAAAAGCACAAAAGACTGGCGGCAAAAAAATAAAAAAAAAAAATCAACGTGAATTTTTAACTGCACATTTTTGGTTATACTTAAATATTATGGGCTATAAAACTCCGTACCTTAAATTGTTTGAAAAATTCAGAGAAAAAAGTTCGAAATCTAGACGAAATTTTTTTGAATTTTTCTAAATCTTGTATATAGCCTAATGGGTTTGGTTAAAGCGCTAACAATGTACAATAAAATCCAAAAAAAAATTAACAAAAAATGTTAAATTAAAAAATTGTGAATATTAAAAAAAAAACTTAAAAGTATAAAAATAACACAAACTAGAGATAGGCGCGTGGTATAGAGGCCCGCGGGACCCATGGCACTGATTTTAAATTGGCGGAATCGCGAAGGTCTAAAATTTTGCGGGCGGGCGAGACGGGACCAAAATCGTTTCCTGACACTCCCGAAAAAAACGCAAATTCAGAAACCCTACCTTAAAAACGATGGTTGAAATACGGACTTTGTTTATGTTTCGTTGAGACGAAAACAAACTAATCGGAAGATGCCAGATCTTTCTTTTTTTTCATTATTTAAAATTAATTTGAAAGACATGTAAATTGTCCTTAGAGATAGATAGATACAAACCTTTTATGGAAATAAGTTTTCTTCAAGAAGTAAATTTCAAGCATTCCTTCGTGAGCGATGAGCCACATTTTCATATAAATATATAAGTGAACAAGTCAAATTGGCTGAAAATCCACACATGTCATTCAAGAAAAACCATGCAACCACAACGAGTCTTTATTTGGTGTGGGTTTTTAGGCTGGCGTAGACATCGGGGCGTACGTCTTCGAAAACGGTGCCGGTAACGCTGTTAAGGTAAACGATGAACGTTATCATGACATGATAACAAACTTTTTATGGCCTGAATTAGATGATAGGGAATTGGACAAAATGTGGTTTCAACAGGACGGTGTCACTTGCCACACAGCACAAGAAATAAAGGCCCTATTGCGAAAGAAGCTCCCAGAGCGCATTATCTCACGAAAAACGTAAGGTCAAATGGCCGCCGAGATCGTGCGATTTGATACCATTGGATTTCTTGCTCTGAAGCTACGTGAAGCTCTGAAGCTATGCCAATATGACCAAGACGATTTCAGAGCTAAAGAATGAAAGCATACGCGTTTAGATGACACATACATACATGCCGTAGCCGAAAAAACATGATGAAAAAAATTTTGTTGTGTTTTATTTTTAAATAAAAGAAAATCTGCATCTTACTAAATTATAGTGAAGCCTTATCCTTAGTTGGCAAAAAACTAAAACTACCTCCATTATCAAAGAAATATTTCTAGGCACAAAATACTTCAGCTCTACTTACCCCATCGGGATTGAATTTGGGTGAGGCATGTGGCGCACAAAATTCCTGCAACACATCCTGCAGCTTTCTAGTCGAATCTGCAAATACATGAAATGAATAATGTCGGAATGTCAGTACCGCTTGTAACAAACTATTATAAACAAATTCGATTAAAACTAGAAACAAATGGAATAGTACTCTCATCCAAGCATTAAATTGCTTAGCAATTACTACATACAATACAAATTGTAATTGCACTGATGATTCCTACATGTTGATGTTGTATACATTATAAATAGTTAGTCGTTTGAAATCGCTTAGCATTTTACTATGCATTCTTGCAAGTTGATTTGAAATTTGCTGAAATTTATTCGTATAAAGTTATGTATATACATACATACATACATACATACGTGCAGTTGCATAACACTATCGCTTTGGCTGTGGCATTTCATTTGAATTACAGATGTCAACTATTTGTTACAAAAGCTGAAATGCTTTTGTAGATTTCATTTATAACATTTAGGACATGTGTGGCTGTACATATGAGTATGATATTAACTAATTGAATTATGTACCTACATACATACATATATAGACACTATTGATATAATAGATAAGTATATATGGTTATGTTCACAGCTTAATGAAGCTTAAATGACAGTTATAACTGTATTGTAGTTAAATATCAAAAGGAAGCCGCAATTATCATCGTAGAACAGTAATACAAAGTAAATAACTTCGTTATGTTTTAGCCGCTTGCGAACTACTATTGCTGCTGTAAATTCACATCTCAGATAATAAAAAAATATCGAAAATATGTTTGTACTTTATGCAGAGATAAAGTTTTGTTCTTGATTTTAGTTAGTTAATTGATTGGGGGTGTAACAAAGGACTTCACAAACTAATCAAATCATTAATCGAATAGCTTTCTTAATTAAAAGTGGATTTAACATCAAATAGATCACGCAACTCTGTCTGGTAGAAGAATTCCTCATACTGTGGAAAAATTAAAGTATTTCAGTCTTACTCTGGCCGCACAATAACACACGTCTATGTCTCGCTTTGTAACTATAAATCTCCAGGAGGAGCAACTGAATTCGAAAAGGGGTCCGGCTCCACAAGACCGGACGATGACTAGTTTTCAGGCAATTTTTCGGCGACCTCGTTACCTTCATTCCAGGAGTGTGCTGGTGCCCATCATAATGTTGCCGTGTTTCTCCCTGCCAAGAGTTGAACAGTATCAAAGCACTCCCGGACGAACATGGAAATGATCATCCCATTCGATAATGCTCTGACGGCCTGATGGATAGGTAGGTAGGTGTGGATGACACTGCTACGCAGGGACACACATAGGCCACAAGTTACTAAGAGCTTTCACTCCCGTTTGCTAAACCAGTTTGAAACCTGAATGAAACTAGTCAGGCAACTAAAGAAATAACACCACTGAATGCGAATCTGCTCCTCCATACCCTCTCCTCCTCCTCATAGTTCTTGCAACTTCTGCAGCATCTATGGCAAGGCACTCTGAGACGTTCTGAGTATTTGCCTATGATGCAGTGGCCTGTTAGAGCACCATTTGGGTGAGATATATCCTACATCTTTAGAGAATATATGTATGCTTGGAAACTTTTTCAATCCTACCAACGCTAAGTTTTCCTAGACAAGGCGCGAAGGGCATACCAAAGCGTTATTTGCCCGGAAAAATCTGCTTCGGTTCTTTCAGAATCGATCAAATAAATTTTTCTTTTTAGGTTTTCGGATGAGTTTCCAGATAAAGGACGCTCATTTGATGTCCACGCTAATTTTCGCTAAATGCCCAGTCTGCTACTTCAAATATCGCAAGCACTTTGGGTTAACAAACCTCCTAAAGCATAAGAACACCTCCAGATGTCATCCACCTCTAGTTGAATATTAAGTCTTGAAGCCGCCAGTGCATAAATTTTTTACCAAGGTTCCAAACAGAGCGTCGATATCTCTTTATTGCTCCCTTGTAGTAAAGCTAACCATGTGCTTCCTTTTTCTTCTTAACATCGATCTGTGCCCGAAACTTTGACTATCGTGCCACAGTCCAAAAGAATGCAGCCGACCTTATGCATAAAAAGTGAGCTTAGAGCTTAGACTAAATTTTTGCACCAAAAAAGTTTTTCGACTTTTCTTAAATTCTCTGCACCGAAAAGTTCTCTGCCTTTATGTCCTCCACTGCTTTGTAATTCCGTGCTGTTAATATTTTGGTTCGCCCTCTCCGAGCTAATGATGGGGGTTAGAGTTCGAACCGGCTTGTCTTCAAACTTTGACTAACGATGACGGAAATTTGTATCAAATTGCATGCATCATTTCAGAGACCATTTTGCTATAAAACAGTTTCTCTGATTCCAAAAGTGCTCTAACAATGAAATCAAGCGACGCCTGAAATGTTCCATCGGTATACCACGACTCTTCTGAAAGTCATAGAAGCGAAGACTAACTTGCACTGCGCCCTTACTATTTTCGAGGGGGTGAAATAACACAAACGGCAATAATGCAAAATTTGCTTTATTTCACTTTTAAATGGGAAATAATACCAAAATCTGAGTTTTGCTTTATTTCCAACAAAGGTTGGAAATAAAACAAATTTTTCCTTATTTCCCATTGCTTATTTATACTATTTGTAAAAAAAAAACAGTTTACTGACAGAAGGAAAAAGAACTTTGTTTATTCCAAAAATACAATTAAACCAAGGCACATTGAACAGGTAATATCAGTATAGCAGCTGATTTGTCAAATGTCAAATATTTTACATTTCTTCTCACAAAAATTCTAAATTGTTAAAATCTATTTGCATGTGAAACATTTTCCATACAAAACCAGCGATTAAATATCAGCTTTTGGAAAGCTCGCCCAACTCAGCAGCGCAACCGCTGATTACTGGGCCTGGCACAGGACGGTGGATCAATGCTTCGAGAAGCGAACCAATTTACTAAGAAAGAAAGTTGCAACAATTTTCATTTTTTCAATTTAAATTTTTTACCTTTTTCGTATTTCGCATGGCACGCTTTGATGTAGAAGAAAAAAATCAGAACAGTTTTTGGCACCTTCGATACCAGAAGCAACAACAAAATACAGGCAAATGTTTTTTTTGCTCAAATGCTCTAAACCTTTTTGATAGGCCTTGAATTAAACAAAAAATGTGATATAATTCATATGAAGAAAGTAATATTCACGAAATATTTTTACTTATGAAAAGTATAACAAAATATAGGAAAAGCATCGTCTTTGAAAACTGCTCCGCATATTGGACATAGGGCTTTTGTATGAATTTTTTCTGCATGCTTTTTAATATATGTTAAAAACATTGCTGGAAAACTTTAAATTGTTTGCATGGAACCATGTCGCAATAAACAGATGAAGTAATAAAACGGCTTTCTCGCTTTATTTTCTGACATTCGGCTGCCTTATAGTCACATTTTATAGGCAAATTTTCAAATAAAGCAGTGGCACCTGGTAAATTCCACTATGGGTGGGATGCAGCATGCAATAACACCATACACAATAATTCCTTACTTGGACATTAAAAAGCAGTTTCAGAAGTGAACTAGTGTTATTTTATCATTTTTCCTTTTTCTAAACGGTTATTATGGCACCAGTACATAATTGCGAAAGGAGGGGAGGGGCGGGGGACGCGAGCGTGACGTCGAACGCGGCGCGGGGTGGCGGGGGGCGCGCGCGCGAACGCGGACCGCCGCGACGCCCGGCACTTTCAAAATTGTATACTTACAAATCCGTCCATTTAACTTGTTCATGTACTACTTTTTGTCAAATGTAACTGGGTGACTACGTGCATATGTGCACTAGTTTGCTTTATTACTCAAATTGTTAAGTATAAAAGTTGGTCTTATTGCTCAACGAGAAATGAAATTAAGCAAATTTGTGTTATTTCACATTCAAATGGGAAATAACACAAATTTGCGTTATTGCCGTTTGTGTTATTTCACCCCCCCACTATTTTCCTCAAAATTTTTTAGAAGATTGAGCAGTTTTGTAAGCTCCGTCGGTGTTGGTCGCTTGGCTTGGCTATAGGAACGGATAACCATCTTAAGTAGTATATTCATTTCAATTCCATTGGTGAGAATTTGCTAAATTAAAAATGTCTTTAATCCATTTATATAATTCAAAAATGAGCTGCTTTCCATTTCCAATGCAATGCAATTCAATTTATCAAAAGTGCATTTTTGTGTGCGTACATGGTCAATGAACCATCCATTGTGTCATCCACCAGCTACTAACCAACCGGCAAAAGTTTGCTCCATCAAGACAACTCATTCATTTTTCATCGCATTTTATTTCCTCCATTTTTTTCTTTAGCTTTCCAATTTTTCACCACTCATTTACGTCGCACAACAACAACATTTCCTTCCTTTTTCCATTAGTTAATTGTATCCTGTTTGTTGCAACTCAATATTGTGTGGCAAGTGGCAAGATACTCAAGCTGGATGTGTTGGTGTTGTGTGTTGTGTGTTGTAGGTGATTAGTTAGGTGTCGCCGCTAGACAGTCAGTGTGACGGCAGTCTGGTAATTCAAACAAAATGTGAGTTGACCTATGGGTGGATGGGCTTCAATGCAAAAAAGAAAAGTTTGTTTTTCCGCTTTTCCTTGAAAGCAACGAGAGTAGTCTGAGCTCATTGGAAAAGTGTGTGGGTAAGCGAATGCTATCTATTTACATTTTCATATTTTGCTTAAGAACGTTGGTCCATTTCAGTGGGTTGTGTGTTCTTGTAGCATGATTGTTTTTTTTTGCATTTTTTCCATCCTCATACATAGAAATTCGTATGTACATACTTGCTTCGAATAATATTGGTGATTGCAAAATTATGCATGAAAATTTTATTTGTCAGTAAATGACAGGTTCGAATACTCACAGTTGGCATCTCTTTCTGCATGCATTCGTCTTCGAAGTATTCAATGCATTTGTAATTTATGGATGTATATGTACGTGTAAAAATATAAATGAGAGTGTCATAAGCTTGGACTTGAGTACCTATCTTGTATTTTCACTTCTAAGCTAACTTTGAAATATTTCTACGCAAAACGAAAATGGCTGAAAAAATTCCTTCACATG